GGCTCCCGCCACCGCCCCCCGCCTCCAGGACGTGCGTTGTCTCCATCAGCCTCACTGTCCCAGCACCGGCTGCCTCTGCTGCTGCTGGGAGAAAACCAGCTGGTTACTGCCCGCAACTGGTTCCTGGCACTGCCTGCCAGAGGTGAGGGCACTGCGGGCACGGATGGAGGAGGGAGGCAAACACCCAGCAGCTGAGACATCACCTTTTGGACGCCTGCAGCCTGGTCATGGCCCAGAGCCACCCTCCGGCTGTGCCACCCGCCCGTGCTCTCTGCAAAGTGGCTTTTCCTGCCCCATCCCCGGGAGGTGCATGATGCCCACGGCACCGAGACCAGGTGGATCTGGCGCTCCAGGCTGGCACCTTGAAGCAGACAGGGATGGTGCCCACCAATGCAGGCAGGGGTGCCCGGAGGAGTTCACCAAGCACCCAGCGGCCTGGCTGGGTCCTGCCTCTTGTCCCCCCTGCCTGGGTCACCTCCCATGGGGGCAAGCCCTGTGGCCGTGATCTAGGTGAGGTGACCAGGTCCTGGGCACCTGCTGGTGAGTGACAGCACTGCACAGCAATCCTATCCCCCCACAGCCACCCCACGGCGATGTCCTCTCCCCAGCCCCACAGTGGCTGAAGGGACAGGCTGCCCCGGAAGTGTCCCCAGCAAGAGCCAGGAGCTGCCGTAAGCTGCCCAAACCATAGCACCAGCCATGTCCCCTGGCCCTGGGCTCTCCCTCCCCGAGAAGGTACAGAATTAATGAGCTCCAGTCTGTCTTTGCCTGGCCATTTCCCATTGATTCCTGGGTCCCTGTTGCCCTGCTGCCCGCCTCCAGGGCAAGGGGGCTCTGAACAGGGCCAGGTACTGTCACCCACTTCTCCCCACTCGGCAGAGCTGCTGCTTCTTCCAGGTAAGCTCAGTCCCCGGCATGTCCATACAGCACAACCGGAAAGGGACGAGCTCTTCCAGCCTGCCAGAAGCACATGACTGAGAACACATTCTCCACCATCCCCAAGCAGTGGTTTTACCTGCCCTCCAGAGGTCCCTGGGGTTTATCGCCACACCAGAGACAAGGACAAAAACAAAAGCAGTAGCCCCGCATCAGCCCCACACGCCCATGTTGCATCAAGAAGCACTAAGATGGGGCAATATCCTCCTCCAAGCATCCCCCAAGTGCTCCCCTCCAAAACCAGGGACTCCTTTCTCTCTGCAGGCTGGGAAGCAGATTTCCTCCTTAGCTCCACCTCTGAGACACCCAGCGCAATGCCCCCACCACTCCCTGAGCCCCCCAGCCAAGCCCAGCCCCGCCCAGCCATCAGCCCCCGCTTGACCAGCCACAGCCAGAGACACCCAGGGCCCATGATCCCACCACGGCCCAACATCCCCTTGGGAAAGAAGAGCCCTGGGGCTGGACTCCAGGGCTTGAAGGGTTTCAAAGCCCTGCCGGTTTCCCCAAAGGCCACTATGCAGGCATCTGAGGAAGTTTAAGGGTGGACAAAGCCTTCAGGATGAGAAGAGCAGAGAAGGTCATGACTCACCGCAGATTTGGGGCTCCCACAGCTCCAGGCTTGCTTCCTGAATGAAGAGAAACTGAAACCTTTTTCTAGAGCACGACAGAGGCTCCTTCCCCTCCCAAACAACCCCACGGCTATCTTTTCACCACTCTTATTAGCAGGACACAGTAGACCACAACCCAACAGCCCTGCTCAAAAAACAGTCTGGCTCTATCCCTCTCCAAGCCATAAGAGGCACCAAACCTGGCGCTTGGCACTGATCAACACTGCTTTTCTTCTGACCTCAGGAAAAATTGTAGCCTTAAAGAGGACAAACTCCACGCCCCAGCCAGCTCGCTCCCTTCAAGGCTGAGCAAGAGGAACCAGTGCTGAATTCCTCCAAATCTCAACCACGGTGGCAGACGGGAGGAGAGGAACAGCCTCCCAGGGAAGGGCTCTTCCACAGCTCACTCACAAAGCGTATTTAAGGGCGAACACAGCAGGACTGCAGCATTTTCAGATTTAATAGCAAGCCTGCACTCATCAGCACCAGCTTAGATGCGGGGCATCAGAGGCGAGAAGCGGGCGAGTACATGAAATAGCAGAGGTGGACATGACACGCAGCTGGGCACAACAACAGGACTAAAGCCCTAAGTGATGTCATCTGCAAGAAGCTAAATGCGCTGTGGATAAAAGGAGCCTGCAGCTAGTATTTCAGTCTTGCCTTGCAAGGCTATTTTTGCTTAGATTGCCAAAATGTAATTACAACTAAATCCCCCCTAACAAATACTGGAGAGCAGCAGGGGAGAGTCGTATTTAAAAGGAATTTTAAGTAGCAGCCATAGTAGTACCTGATCGCAGCGGGGAAAACAAACTGCTCCTGGAAAAGAGCATTTGGTTGAGAGCTGGTGACAAACAAGCGGCAAGAGCAGGAATAGAACCGTGGGGTCTCGAGAAACACAGAGAGGGATGCCACCACAGCCTGAGGAACTGCCCTGCTCCCTGCCCAGCGAGGTGCCAGCAGGCACAAACTGCCTGACCACAGGGAGCAGTTAGTCATCGCTGTCAGTGCGCTGAATGTTTCTAGAGACAGCCTAGGACTGACACCCTCAATGCAGAAAATGAACCCTTCAGAAGACTGAATATTTTAAACTGTTTTCTCTGCCGATCCTGGCTGCTTTCAGTCTAGACTTCAATAATAACACGAGGAATTTGCAATTGGAGTAATGAGGCTGAAGGTCTCCGAGTCCCCAAGGCCGATAATTGTCCCAGACATGGGCCGCTAGTTCTGCGGTCGTGACCAGATTGGCCCAAGCAGCCCCTTCTCCTGGGGGACTGCACAGAGCACGTAGAGCAGGAGATGTGCCCCATCTCTGGCTGCAGTCTCCCCTCGTGTGCCCAATGCAAAAGCTCTATTAAAAACGAAAGGCAATTGAGTGATTCCCCAAGGAAAAGGGGAAAAGGCTGGAGCTGTTAATGAGTACAATTAGTGTTGTAGTCAAGCAGAATCAGAGGAAAAAATTAGCTCCTGTTGTTTCCGTGGCATCCGAATTGCAGCCATGCTGGCTTTCCAGGCAACAACCCATCAGTCTAGCTTCACCCCAGAGGACAGGAGACAGGGAGTCACTCGCAGCCCCTCTTCTGGTCACAGCTTTCATGCAGCTATAAGCGGCAGCCTGGGCCATCACCCTCTTCTGCTACACCCACTGGAGGTCCAGTTTCCCAGATGGCCGGAGACTTGCAAACCTCAGTGCACCCCAGAAGCACGCATGGCCCTGCATTCAGTCTTTCCGTGGATGCAACACAGGGCAGCACTGCTGGCTCTCCACTGAGACAGCCGGAGTCAAGACAACTAAGTGAAACTAGGACAAAGAGGTGTTTGGTGTAAGGGAAGCTTGCGTCCCTCTCCCCAACAAATAGGGCTGGGCGCAAGGCACTGCTAACCAGGGAGTATGAAGAAGGGCAAAGACAAAGCAAGCATCTCATTTTTTTAAGCAAGATGTTACATCTCTAACTCCTCTGCCCATGTAACTCTACAAATATGGTGAAGTTTGGCCACCCACTGGCACTTGGAGTGCTTTGCTGCTTCATGTAGGTGGGCAGCTCAGGGGAGGATGCTTTATGGAGCTGGCAGAAGCAGGCCTCGGACCTTACCACAGCCTAGAGAAATACCATCCCACCAATTTTTAGACAGAGCCAAAAAAAGAGAGACTGAAAGAAACAAAGAGACCCAATAATTTATTGGCAGAGCTGAAAGGGGGCATTTGAAAACCATAGGGCTGACTCTCAACTGGGAAGCTCCTCCCAGCTGCAGAGAGATTTATAATACTGGTATCCCTCAGCAAAAGGCTCTGATGTTGAGGCAGAATCCCAGAGATCCTGCATGCCATGTAGAGAAAGAGAGGAAAGTGCTGCAAGATGCGGCCCCAAGGGCACACTGCTAATTGAAAGGTTGGCCTCCCGCCCCACTGCTAAAAAAAAGTTTGTGTATGACAAAATCAGCCTCTATTGTCACCGCTGCTGGAGGGCTTCAGATGGATCCTTCCTCCAAGGAGGAGTGCGAGAGAGTGGCCCATGAGTCCCTTCAGAGGTCGGAGGGCACTGGTGGAGACCTCTCAGTGCTTTCAACACGGAGAGAGGAGCTTAGTGCCAACTCTTGTTCTCACAATGTGATTTTTGTGTTTCGAAAGCTTGAATTATCCCTGGAAAACAGAGGGAACAAAGAGGTTAAAGGTGTGCATTCCTTCAGATCACAGCACCCCCCATTCCACCCACCATGGCTACCAGTGTTGCCATCCCAGCATGTCACTCAAATCAATGCTCGTTAAACCTCCTAAGCAGATCTGCTTTCTAACTAGAGACTTTTCACATAAGTCAACCTGCTGCTCCAGAACACTTGGAACACAGGGAGATCCTGGTTCATCCCCATTCATCAGGAAGAAAAAAAAAAGTGTCCTCTTCTGTGAGCAAAGCACATGATAGACTCTGGAAACCTCCCTGATAGACTCTGGTGTTTAAACAACTTGCAACATCTCTTCCTTCCCAAACATTTGTCCTCAGGGATTCTGCTTGGAGCACAAATATACCGTCAGTCCAACCTTCTCCTGCCTCTGTCCCTCGTATTTAGGTTCCTTTTGTCATGCTGTCAGCACGTTTAGCTCTCTGGTCTCTCCTACCTTAAAACAGTATCTAATCTGAAATGGATGTTTCCCGCTAGTTTAAATAGAAGAGCTTCTTCAGCAGCTTTTACTCACATGAGTACAGCCACGTGAGTCGGAGGGCTACTGACAAAGAAAGGACTGCTGGTCCACAACCTTCATTTGTATAGTCTTGCGGCACATGGCAGCAATTGAAGATGGGGCAGGTTACAGAAACCTGCGTTAATGCTTACTGCTAGCCTGTGAGCAGCAGCAATAGGCAAAGCATATTTACACATTAATAGAAATGTGGTGGGTTTTTTTTAAACTCAAATGGAAATAAATGAGATGACAATTATTTTGAGAGGATAGGTTTGGCAGCCCTTCCCGTAACAGGGACGGAGCAGTAAGTTGCCCAAACCAAACACCTAGGGATGCCCCAGCACGTATCATACCAAATCGGCAGAGCTACGTTGAAGAGCAAAGGCAGCAGCTTCAGAAGCAAGGTGCTCTGCAGGACTGTAAAATCCTGCTTAAACCCTTGAGCTAGTATTGTGTGCTGCTAAGAGCTGCACAGTAGCTGTAACATCACAGCACAGTGCATGCTGGAACACCTCCTGGAGGCAGACTGGAGAGCTGGAGGAGCAGAAGGAAGTAAAGAACACTCTTTATAAACAAGTTACTCTGCTATGACGTGACAGCAAAAACCATGCTGGAGGCCATCTGCAGAAGACTGGGGTTCACCTTTGCACTTGCCAGCAAAGCAGGCTGTGCTGCCGTTTGGGAACACGATTCAGGATTCATTAACTGGATTCCGGTTAATTTGCAACAATGGTTTGGCTTTCTATCCCATACTGTACTTTCACCTGTGCCATCTACCTCAGGAGGACGCCACACTTTGGTTAGCTCTTGCTCAGACAGGTTTCTACATTTCCCCTCCTTTCGCCTTTATCAGGGTGCCCCAGACCCTCTGCTCATCACTATTCTCCCTGCTCAGCACAGGTAACCCAATACAGTTGAGAGCTAAATCAGCTCTGTCACTGTTTTCCTATACACTTGGCACATTTACTGCCTTCTGAGACTGGTAGTTCATGAAGTGAGCTGGTTTCCTCTTCTGGAAGGTCACCTGAATGTCATCTAACAATAACAACACTACTAGGTGTCTGTGTGATATTTTGTAACCATTGATCCTTCCAAAAAGCCAAATCTGTGAGGAAAGACAGGTATTATTTTCACCCATGACTTCAGAGCAAGCTATGAGAACACTGCTTGCCCAAAGCTGTGGAGGGAGGTTTTGGGATCCCCAGTGGCCCCTCGGAGCTCGGCTGTGTTGGAGCAGCTACGTGCCACCACGGGGTGGGAACTGGGCAATGTAACGCTTCCTTCCAGCGGGTTCCTCTGCTCTGGCACTCGGCAATGCAGCAATCCCACTTGGCTACAACCAAACGCAACTCTCATCGCCAGGGCTCCTGCTAGCCCTTTTTAAGGAAAGGGCCTGCCATCAGGGAAGAGGGCACTGGAGGGGAAAAACAATCTGAGCTGCGAGGCTCACAACAGCCCTGAGCTCACCTTGGCTATTTTCTCTGCACATGGTCAGTTGCTGCTACCAGAAGTAGCAGGTGGTTTCATCTCATTAGCCACAGCATTATTATTTCTAAATACAGTAGATACTGTGTTTCCTTCCTGAACAAGCTTTTATTGACAGACTAATTTATTCTGCTCCAGCCCACTGTCAAGAGCAAAGGCACGTATGCCAAGCTCCAGGCGCCTCTCTCAGTGTCCATCACATGGATGTGCTTAGCATTCATTTACCACTCCATATCTGCTTACAGTTAACCCTAGGCAACAGATCCAAGCTGAAGACATACCTCTCAGCCTCCTGGGACCAGGTCTGGGATACAAGTGCCTTGCACAGAGGAAGGACACATTAGCAAAATAGCACACAGCATCACAACAGAAAATGCTGTGTGCATGAATGAAGACCACAGTGAATATTGGTGTCTTTGGTCAAAAAAAAATTTAAAAAATCATTTTGACCTTTGGGAAAGAGCCAGTAGCAGAATGGGCCCACCACCAGGCCCATAAGGCAAGAGAACATGCCAGCCCACAGCAAGAGGGTTGGAAGCTGAGAGGTATGCCATGAAGTCACATAGGAAGAAAGATGAGGCCCTACCCTGGGTGTGACAGAGGGAGGGGGAGCGTTCGATCAGCGGCCACTGCTGTTCACCAGGCCATGAAACTCCTCCCAGGCCCTGGCAAGCCAGAGGGAAAAAAAAAAATGAAACAAAAAACAAAAAAACAGCACTTCAGATCAAAGGCTTCTTAACTTTTAACGAGAGCAGAAACATTCAATGGCGTTTGAAAGGCATTTGTCTTCAGAGAGCAAGGCAATATTCTCTGATAGCCCTAGTGGATAGAAGCATCCTTAAAATCCAGCCAAACATCTGACAGCACGAGGCAGCTTTAACGTTCTGCACAGACATGAAGCGTTCCCACTGCCTGCTGGTGATATAGCCACATTAATACCCAGAGACAGGTATGACCTTCCCAGTCACAAATGGAATATCCATTCCCTATTGCTAATAAAATAGCCAATGTTACATCTTTCTGGAGGATTATCACGTTCCTTGGCTGGTTAAACTCAGCCAGTTACTGGCCTCGTGCTTCACCACATACCTGTGTATGTAGTAATCCCCCCAAAAGGGGCTTCTTTTAATGCCACACGGCTTAGTTATTACGACATTCTTCGATCAGGTGGCAGAATCCAATTGTTATTAGAAAGTCTCATTTCCTATTGTAAACCTGCATTGTTAAAGACGACCCAGTAAAACATTACAGCTATTTGAAATGAAAATGTTTTCAGATAAGTTAGAGGGACAGGCCTAACGCTGCATTCCCTGGTGGAGAATGTTACTGACGGACGAAGCTAGCAGACTGAAAAATTGCTGTCTGTTTTACAAAGGCAGCATACTGAAAGCCCTCTCAGGGAAAAGATGCGGAGGTTAATGTGAGCATGACTATTATCTTCTGGGATCAGAGACATCAGAGAACCTCATAGTTCTCCATGCCCAGCAAAACAGTGCTGGTGCCTACAGCACATGCCAAGCCATTTACTGAACCCAGAGAATCCCATGGAGCTGCAGGGACCTTAAAGGGAACCCAGGTCACTCATAAACCCAGACCACCCTGCAGATTTTGTTGCTGGTACTTAGCAGCTATCCCACATCTTGTTTTCTGCATTGCCTTATGAGGCCACTGCAACACAACAGGAGAATCCAGAAATGGAAATCCTGTATTAGTCAGCATCTGTGCCAAAAACAGACCCCCAGTCTGGCTCTTACCTGAGCCTCACGGAGTCAAGCTCCCAACCAGCATTTGCAAAAGCAGCTCAGGTGTCATATGCTCTTTCCCAGCAAAGTCATAGCCCAAATAAACACAGAGTATACTGGCAGAGTGCCTGTCACGTGCACTCTGCAAGACTGTACACCACATACAGGCAGTCTTGCTGGGAACCCAGCAAAGAGGACATAAGCAAGAAGCTTGTCGCTGTGGTGTACAGCTTGGAATTTGTGACACTGCCTTCCCAGACCACAGGACAGCAAATTCGTCTTTAGAAAGCGCTGAAGGTGAAATCCTGAAGATCATTGACTTCAGCACCTTCAGTACAAGCCTGGTGAGTGGCAAAACACTCCAGTTCTTCCCAGTTCAAAACTGCTTTGACAAAACTTCCAAGAAGCAACTGAATCTCCATAGCCCCACCAAGGCACAGGCTCCTATACTACTCCTGAACTACCAACGTGCTCAGCTGGTCTAAGAGAGTCCTTAGCTATGGCTGGCTAGGTTTTCTCCTCAGTTTCCCTCCATGCATGGTAGCTCAAAATCCTCCTGATCTTGACTAGGATGGACAAGTAACAGTTATCCATGGGAGTCCCAAAGCTACATGGTATCTCTAGCTGACCCTCAGACATGAGCCCTTGAAGCTGAAGGAAATGTGAGGGAGAAAGAGAGCAAAGGGTGCTGTAGATGCAACAGGACAGCACACAGGACATAGCTGTGGTGCATTAGTACACCAGGTCAGATCTGCAGTTCAGCTTGACGTACAGCAGTATGCTGCTTGGAGGAGAGAAACCCACAAGTGGCTCTTTCTAAGCAAGGCAGCAGCACAGAAGTCCCTAAATGGGAACTTTCCCCCCCAGTCTCCTCAGACACAGCACCCTTCAAGGCCACAAGACCAAGAAATCTTCCAGAGAAAGGAAAACTGCCTACGTCACTCAGTCAGCACATGGTACTAGACACTGTGGGTACAACTGCCTCCCTCCAGAAGAAAGTTAGGGGGAAGAAAGTCCTCTGAGCTGCTGAATACAGGTTGGAAAGCTATGCACATCTCCAGCCTTGTTAAAGTCTCTACCTTCACGTCTTCCCTTCAACCTCCCATGCCTTGTATTTCTACCAGATTTCCATCACCCATAATCACATCTTCTCTCTTTCCTCTCCCACAGTTCTCCCCAAACTCGTAACTTCTGTTCTCTGCAGAAGGGACACAAGGGCAGATTATTTGTCAACAT